AATCTTAACGAAAAGGAAGCAGCATCGATGTTAATGTCACGAAAACGGGAGAGATCCCAGACGATCAACCAAAGTTCCTATTTTTCACGTGTTTTAGCCCAAAGATTAGAAAATTAAGGGAGCGACAATTAGTGGGAAGTAAGGGAGGCGAAAAGCGAGGGAGAAGGAAAGAAGAGAAAATCGAGATGACGCACGTCGAAACCTCGTGTCTACGACGAGAATGGAGCCTCCCGCGCTAATTAACCAGCCAATTAGAAAGCTCGCGGCCATGCGTAATGAGCTGCGCGCGCAAAAGTTCCTAAATGCAACGCGGTCCTTTTTCCTTCGAATTCGCGCCGGTCACGAAGCACGCGGCGCGCACTAATAATATAAATTTAGATACACTAAGGAAACGAAAACCTCCTCCTCGGCCGTATTGATTACGACCGCGTTCGAGATTACAAGAGTGTGATCGAAGCGGTGGAGAGCAGGTGGAGGATAAGGAGCGCTTTAGTCCTCGATACTAGTCCGCTAACAATCATAGTGATAGTATAATAATACCGTTAGAGATTAATTGTACAACAGCGAAGAGCGCCTTCTCTGCCGAGAGGGAGAAGGTGGAATAAATAAGCAACGTACTTGTGTCTTATGGCGTCCGATTACGCCAACAGGCAATAAAAACAGGAGACTCGAGGCGGCGCGTACGAAGACGAAGCACGTCGAGGAGACATATTTTCCCTATATCCTACCCCACGCACAGAACCACGGTGCGTGGAAGGGAAATCTTTTTTTTTTTAAACAGCATGAAATCTGCGGATGGACACGCTCGACTTCGGAAGCTGACCTTGTAGCTCTTTAAGCAGTTTTTAACCGTACATTAATGTGCCACGTGGGCTCTTGAAGCAATTTCAGACGCGCGCCGCGCGGTGTTTTTATCCTCTTAACCGAGTACGAAGTAACTAAATAAATAAATAGAAGGATTACGGAATATATATAAATAAATAAACAAATAAATATATATATATATACACAATTTAAGAACCTATTTAATTATATATTCCTATATACATATACAAGGAACACATGTACAGGTATTTTACTAGGTCCTTACGATTTTGAAATTCACTTTCGTTGGAATAAAGAGAGGCGAAAAGCGAGATTCGCAGAAGACCAAAGAAAAGGGCTATTTTTCGTGTGTTTTGAAAGCCCGAAAGATATTTTTCACTGCGTCGAAACAGTGTAACGAGAACGGCTAAAATGTCCACGATGAGTGTCGTCTCGAACTCTTCCGTCGAAGTGGACTCCGATTCCTCTAACGACGTGTCGAGCAAGGACGACAACAGTGCCGAAAGGAAGTTTATCCTACGTAACGAGCTATATAGCAGTCTGCTGGCGAGCGCGTTAGGCAAAACCGTGCTCAACAGGCATCTCAATTTCAAAGAGCAGGGGATTAACTTCAATCTAGCATCTCTGAAGGACAATTTAAATGCGCTCGGTGCACTGAAGGAGTTGAAGGATTTGAAGGGCTTGACCGTCAGCAGTGTGCCCGCCTTTCCAAGGAACTTAGCCCTTCATCGGGAAGATCACGATGAGGTTAGACTGGACTACTGAGAAATATGTTTGCATTATCGTTGCGTTATTTGTGGTTAAATTTCTATTACTGTTACATTGGCAGCATAAAATATTTTTACGACAGCTGACGTTACGCTTTGCGAATTGTCAGATTTTTCATTTTATATCTATATATATATTTAGATTTATTAATATAGATATATAAATTATACCATCATTAGAGTTAAGATATAGAAAATAGAGTTAAAACTTTCCTTGAAAAGTTACTGTAACGCATGGTTTAACAAATGTCACGTGTGGGCATAGTACTCGTGATATATTAGGAACATATAAACGGAAGTGGAGGAACGCCAAGTATCAAATGGGAGGACGTAGACGATGTCGCCAAGGATCGTGAGGATAGTTAGCGAAGAGTTAAAGGCCGGTTGACAGGTCGGCGAAACTGTTTGCGAGATAAAGTGCGCTCTAACGTGGATGGCATTTGTTGCCGGTATAAGTTGTCAGTTAAAAAGTTAGAGCATAGTTAGTGGCGGCGAATTTTCGCGTAACGATGGTATAAAATACAAGGCCGAGTCGTGATTTCGCTTGCTCGTATAATACTCCATTTTCTTAGTTCTTCAAACATTCACCCGATATGTTTTGTCTGTGGCTTGATAATGTTTCATTACACTCGGGAATTGCTTGCCTTGATTTCTGGTTTAGACTTGTCATGGTTTTATTTAGATATTGTTTACGCGACTGTAAAACTGGAAAAAAAAACTCGACGGGTAAATATTAAATATTAAAAAATTATTACACGTGAGAGAGAGAAAGCAGCGATTAATTAGAGCGTCTAATTTTTGGCGACCCAGTGAAAATAAGTTAAAATATAGAAAGTTAATATGTGAGATTAAAGCGATTTTTTGTTAAAGTGAACTTTTTATTTAAAAACTGATTATGTATTTAATATCATTAACAGTAATTGCTACTTATTATACTGTTTTTCACGTTTAAGAGCTAATACATAATTTTTAAGTGGTAGTTTATATCTTTGTCACTTTAAAAAAAAGATATAAACTTAATTAACCTTTTAAAAGTGTAGCTTGATTAATACTTGAACTTTTTTCTGTTATAATTTATTAATTAGCTGCAATTGTAGCGCGCTGTCGGCTATTTCCTGTTGCTTCCTTTTGCTTTTGCCCGAGTTACAGCCGTGAAGGAACTTTTCTTGGCACGATTATCGTTTTGGCTCGCTTCAGTCGATGCTACGGCGATTCCTGACCTAAATCCATAAACATGCACCTGCGTGCTTTCCTCATTTCAATTGTACAGAGTTTATCGGTTTCGCAATACCCTTCATGAGAATCAATTCTTTATTTAATCGATCAATTTATTTACGACAACGAATTTCCATTATGGATTATAGCTTTTCATTGTAATCTCGTAATATCTTTTTATTATTACAGAGAGAAATTGCGTTGATTTAATTGATCGTTTTGTAACAGTATGGGAAGTAAATTTCTAAAGTCAAACATTTTCGACTTATGGCATAACGATAAAATAATAACGAACGTATTTATTATCGTTTTTATTACATTTATGCTATCAATCACCAAACTTTTTATCAGTAGCCAATCACAAATTAATTACTTTTCAAATTAGATTTTATGATATCTGGAACTTGTATTAAGCCTAGAGAGAAAAATATTACGGGCATCATATTGCGTGCCCGAGAACGTGTAATTAAGTTAGTTCGCAATAATGAAACGCATCCATCCCCCTTCGAGACTCCCTTAAGAAATAACACCCCTGGTTAAGCTCTGGGGGAAGGCTATTCGAGAAACTAATAATCAGGCTTACGATTCGTAACACGTTTTTCTCACGATGCACCGCTGCGCGAACAATTAGCAACTTCAATCCAAAGTCCCCCTTAATTAACGATTTACCCCGATTAGTTTGCTATGCCACGGAGGGTCGAGATTTCACTTCGCGAGAAAAGAGACGGTAGGATTAAAACCCGATTATTCCGAGGTCATTTAAAAAGTAAAGAGAGCGTAGTAAGCGGGACACGGAGATGTAATGTAGAACGCTGTAATATAAATATTAAAGAGACAGAAGGGTTTTGCTTATTCGTAAACTTAAATGCTGCTCCAAAATTGTAATTGATTTTTTAAATATTTGAAAAGACAAGTTCTCGTACTTATTTAATCCATTGCGGATGATCGTTCGTGCTTGTGAGAGAGATTACACATATTAAATACAGGAAATGAGTGCTAATGATATTACTGAATTTCAACGCAATTTTATTCGATGATATGAAATTTTCCGTTCGAATAGAAACGGATAATGTGGAGCCGATATCGCGAAGTAGAATTGTGAGAGCATTCCAGTAGCAAAAGATGATTTCAGTTGCATCTACTTTTATAACCACCGTGCTCATCGCTCCTACATTCGACGACGTATCGATTGGATATCGCCCGACGTACGTTTTCTCTTCTTTGTCTGGGGCTATGAATTTCTTACGATGTCTCTTGCGGTCGATAGCGCCGCGGATCGGTATAATTACACTCGAATTTGTAAATGTGTGCGTGTTGACCGTTATATATACACCTATAGAATAATCTATATCCTGTGTAACTGTTAGATCTTACGATGTGTTTGTAAGAGCTCAAGTCCCAAAATACGAATATTTCTTCTCTTGGCAAATATTAGTAAATATTAAAGAATTAATAGGTATAAGAAGATAATACTTCATTACATATGTATACGTGACACAATTATAATGAAACAATTCAATATAATATATATAAATTTTGTTGTATTTATATAATCGTGTATCTACTTGTACCTCATGGTTTAATTTAGTTGGAATTATGAGTTGAAAAAGTGTACCTATATAAAACGAGTTTAGGTATTTTGATGTCAAATATATTTTCCGACTTAATGCTAGCCGATTCATCGATCAATTTATTAATGGGCTAACTCTTCTCGCGCACTCTATCATGAATACCTAATGCTGCCTCACCGGTCACAGACGAGAATGAACGAGTTTAATAAAATCACCGTGATTATATAATATGCATGTGAAAGATTTTTCCGGTCTAAGATCTTCTATCAATTTGAAGAAGCCGACTTGCGTAATTAATTATACTTGGAGCAATCTTAACAATTCTGGAAATTGACGCAAAATTTCCTTTCAAAGTGAGTTTTTATAATTTTGAATATTTATAATGTATGAAGCACAAAAATAAAATACTTATTAATATAAATAATTCGAGGAAAACATTTTGTAGAAAAGCATTGAGACAAAAAAATTAATTTGCATACATTTAGTTTACTACCAACACTTGTGAGGAATAGATTTGATTTTTTGGAAAATATTGTTACGAAAGAATAAGAGAACCAAAACTAATGCTATTTTGAATGCATATAGGCTTTTAACGAATTCATGTTTTTTTTTCTCTTTACAGAAAAACTCATTTGCGTGGTCGGAGGGTGGTGAAGAAGGTGGCGGTGGCGGCGGGGGAGGTGGCGGAGGAACGGGAGGGACTGGAACAGGTGGTACGGGTCCTGCGACCACCGGTGGCGGCGGACTGGCCCATTGGGTCAGTGTTATGGCGGAGCACATTCACAATCCGCACTCAGCCACTGGCGTCAGTGTTCACCATCAACAACAATCCCCACCTCAACCGCCTTACCCGTGGAACAATGGCCTTTCCAGTGACGTGAGTACGCTCTTATTGCACCCAGATTTCTTATATACGATTTCTTATACACTAGAAACTATATGTCAAAAAATCATTAAGAATTTAATTTCATTTAATATTATATTTTTCTTAAATTAATATCGAGTCTAACGTAAGAAATGCCCTATTTTTTAAAATGTTACTCTGCTAATAATCGAATAAAACGAACTCAGTAATTTAGAAAAATAATAATTACAGTAAAATGTGAAAGCAAATATTTATATATTGCGAACAACGTTGGTTCAATTATTGCGAATACAAATTAATTTTTTTTGTCAGAAAATGTACCGTAAAAAGATCATAAATCGTCTAATAATAGAGGTGGCAATAGTAGAAAAAAGAAAAGTTCTTTTAATTAGCTTTTTTAAATCGTAGTAACATCTTACAAATATCATAAAGTTTCAATTTATTTATCTGTAATCTCTATGTTTCTCGCGGATTCGACGAAAGCTGCAGTCGCGACAAAAAGATCGACGACAAAAAATTCAAAAGAAAAAGACGGTTAGAGAGGAATAGAAGGAAATAAGGAAGAGAAGTAGGAACGTTGCCTGAATTAAATATGGCCGGAAGAAAGACACCGTTAAATGCGCGATGCAACGGTACCAAAACTTCGGAAATGGTAGAAAAAAAGTCCCCGTCCGACATTCTCTCCTTTTTTTTCTTTTTTTAATGCGCGGTGTCAGCGGAACGGAATACGCTACCCCTGTTTTGATTTTATTTTTTTTCTTTCACCCTTTTGCGTGCTATCTCCGGACGAGAATCCTGCATAATTTAGACGAGACTGGATTAGAGGAGATTGTCAAGAGAGGAAGAGACAATGAGTGTGAAAGAGTCGGGAAGGGGTGAAGTAGTAAAATCGAAATGGAAACGACGGGGGTGAAAAACAGAACGGGATACAAACGACTCGAAAAACGACGGCGAAAAAGGGCGCCAAAAAGGGTTGAAGATCGCTTTACATAGCGGTGTTCTTTCGTCGGGTTTCATCTCGAGATAAAAAAAAGAAAAAGAAAGAAAACAAATAGACGGAAGCGCGAAAAAAAGACTTTTGGGGAAGAGGGAAAAAAGCGTGTATGCGCATTCGCGCAAGAGGGAATGAATAAGAGAGGAGAACAAATAACGGAAAAAAGTAGCTGCTCATTTGAATCGATAGTGGTTATGTGGCGTTTTTCTTGCGTTAATCAGGTAATAGTTCATTTATGGCGCGATTTAAGAGAGGATTAATGAAAAAGTTTATCATGGTATGTTTTTAAAATAGTAAAACAAAGAGAAAGAATTTTTAAAGCTTTTTTGTTAAGCTCTCAAAATGTACTACATTTTTTATTATTCGGTGGAATCATTGTCTTCAATTATGTTAGTCGTAACATTATTATAATTGCGTTCTCATTACTAAAGCGAGATACATAGAGGACTCGTTTGTTTTTCTTAGACAAGAAATTAGGGTGCGCCTTCTATCTTCGTACGGTGCGAAAAGGACCGGATTTGAATGTGAATAGAAGTGGCAGACATCTCGAGGACGCTCTTTATCGGTCGTAGAACCTGCAGCACGCGGAAGAGTTATCCCGAGGCCTCGTTTATCCTCTCTCTTTGTTTCTTCTTCTCTCTTTCTCTTCTTCCCCGTTGAGGGCTCACCCGGTTTTTGTCTATGGTTATGGGTGCCCGCGGGACCCACGCCATGGGTCTATCGCAGAGGCCTCGGGAAAAAACAAGGAACTACGACAACGGGGGGACGATTTAAATAATCCGCGGCATGCTAATGTCTCTGGCATTCTCACGGAACACCGTCCGTGAAAGTTCTCGAAGGGGAGGGGGCAATAGTTTGGGAGAGAAGAAAAAGAATGAACGTACAAGACAATCAGCCAATCTGCATACGATGCATACGGGCGAGGAAGAGTAGTACCCCTTGGCGTCTCTCGAGGGGATGATCGCGTTATCTCGGTGAACGACTTGTGACTAACCGATCGTTGGTTGAAGTTTAACCATTAGAAATTAATAAAAATCTCGAGAATTCTCGTTTGTAACAAAATAAGCTAATAGCCATTAGAACCATTAAAAAATATCACAGTCGTTTGAAGAAACGTCCACGCCACCGATAACCGTCGAAAGCTGAGGGTAAACAAAAGGCCAGATGAAGAAAACGTCTTAGTAGCAGTATGTCAGCGTAATGCCGCGTCATGTGCGAAATCGGTAACACGTTTTCGGAGGTTGTAATCTGTCGTCGGTTTTGCCCAGCGGGTGGTCAACCCTTTTTCCAAGGTTTTTTACGCCTGCCCGACCATAATCCCTTAAAACGCTTAGAGGCGTTCTTTAGGGTAATTTCTTCACGGTGAAGAAAGGGCGCGCCTCATCCGGCGGGTCCCGCATCATTTTATTCGGCAAGATGCAAAACACCTTTGGCCGCGCGCTCTCGTACCCCTCCCTCCCGCCTTCGGAATAGCAACTGAAATCGTTCTTTGCGCGAGAATCCTTGGCCTTGCGCGGAACACCACCCCTGATGAAGATTATGCAAAAGAGGACTCATCCATCCCTTTCTTTTCCCTCCTTCGTAACTATCCTTCACCTTTGCCCCTCTCCCCTCCTTGCCCTCGCGAAAGTCCCCCCCCGTTGTCCTCTTTCTTGTCTCCCTTGTTCCTTCTCTCTTCTTCTCTTTCGTCATTTTCGTCCCCTCGACACGGTAGCAGTACGAAAATTAAAATAATGGTTCCCGCAACCCCTGCCAGCATTTTTTTACTTCTTCGATCGGCTTTTTCTGCATGTGCACCTTCAACGCGGCAACGACAGCCGGCATGCAAATCGTGCGCAACGGGATTTTTGTCTCTGTTCGACGAGAGACAAAAAAAAAAGGAACGGAGAGAAGTAAGGCACGGTTTATTGTCTCGGTGTACCAGGACCGTTCGTTAAGGGACCGGTGTCGAAATAAGATTTTTTTTCTATCTCCGCGCGCAGAATGCCTCTGGATGACGAAGCCGTGTCTCCGATTGGCTAATGAATTTCTGGGGCAACGTGCCACGACGAAATGAAAAAAAAAAAAAGACGGGACTAACGTTCACTTCGTATTGAACAAAATGAAACGGTAGAACGGAAGTTTCACGATGAAGCAATTTATATCGCGTCATCGTATAACGATATTCCGATGCAATTTTTTGTATCTATTTTAGCATCTCTTTCATATAGAATAGATTTTTTTTATACATGTAAGAACGTATGTCATCAAGTGATTTTTGTACAATTTTTTCTGATTTCTTTTTTGCTAGTATTATTTTTATAATAAAAATTATCTTAATTAATGTTATTAATATATTTTTATTAATTAAGAAAAGAACTGTCATACCGTTACCATGATTAAAGTTTTATGTTTTCGTTTTATTTTTTATGAGATTAATATACGTTATCCTATCCAGTTTCTTCTTTCACACATAAAAATGATTGAAAAACAGTACCTTAACTACGTACATTTCTAAATGATTTTCTATTATATGCATGTTTGAAAATAAGTTTTCTGTGTTCACCTATATTTCTCAGTTAAATTCGTATTTACCACGTCATCGGCAATGCTGTTTCTTAAAAATGGTCTCTTTACAACACAAGCACAGTAGGTAGATATTACATTCGGTTATACAATAGAAACAAAGATAGGTCGTGCAATTCATGCATCGGCCTAACGCCGAGTCCTTTTTGGCGGCGGTGTCACAACATTTGGGCTCAGGATAGAGTTATGGCCGTCCTTTTGCCGTAGTTTTCGGCGTACCGATTCTCTCTTGGTTCTCGTTCGCCGTTTATATCCTTGCTTGTCCGCGTGGAAACATTTTCTGCGATTTTCAACCCTTCACACCATGTATTGTCAGAGCAATGAGTTTGCTATTCGTACGTGACTATTTTTATTGTGAAATAACATTCGTAGAAATCTCACTCTTATGTGACACATCTCGTACGTTCTTCTCTATATTTTATATATATAAATTTATAAATATCTTATACGTTTAAACACAACTAATATAATTTATTTTATCTACAAGCATTGTAAAAGAGTACATTAGAAAATACATATTTTCAAAAGAGTATATATATATATATATAAAATCTAACTACTGCACAGAAGAGAAAGCAAAAATATATTCACTTTTTGTTGAGATATTTTTTTTTACGTTACCGTATGATTACTTTTTGAACTAACGGTAAAAGACCGGCAGCACGAAAATCGCGGCTGCGTTTTTAAAGGATCGTGCCCCAAGAGACGTGACTAAGAATCCATCGCGAGAATGTACCGTTTTCCGTGAGGATGCACCGTTAAAGGGTTAAAGGAAAAAAATTAGCACCCGTTCTATCAGGACAGAAGAAAAAACAGTGTCGGGTGCTTCCGGCAAAGACGCGAACATCGGCATCGGGTGCCCGTTCCCGGAACCGATTCGGATGAAAAAACCGCATATAGTTTTTCGACGGGCTCGGGGTGGCCGCCCTAGGCTGTACCGTAGAGGTGCGTATGCAGATCATCGTGAATGCCAAGTAACAAAGGGCCCATAGTCTCACGCTATTGTGCCGTGGCAGGTAAGATAAAAGTGGCTGGCCCATGGGCCCCGTAGATCCCTACAACAACGTGGCTGCACCCCGAAAAACGCACTTATACACATACAGACATATACAGGACGGCCGAAGAGCTGTCGGGTGACCCGGTCTAGGAGACCAGCTCTTGATGTCTCTTTAATTTTTATTAATGACGGCGAATTTGAATTTTTGCATCGGTGATATGGGAACCGCGCGCGGGATGTTCTTGGAGGGGGGATTGTCCCAGGTACGAGAGGCGGACGTACGTACTGAGAGCACGTTGTAAGTCGCGTACGTGACCGTGGCCCTGGGAGCCGCGCTTAAGGGAGATCCTCGTCCTCGTCATCGATCATAATTATCCGCTTTCGTACTTCGTTGATCCGCGCCGCAGCGACAGGTGAGGATTTTCGAGATTTTCCTTGCATCTTTCAGCCGCGAAA